GCAGACCTGTTTTATTGGATCAAAGTTATTGAATGGTAGCATGAATGAATCTTGTTAATTATTGGCTTTCCCAAAAAGAACAGTACCTTTTACTAATTTTGGTTCCTTCACAAGTTCTTTCAGAGCTTACATCTCGGTCAAAGCCCCACCCTGATGCTACTAATCTGTTGATTTCTTCTTTGTCCTTAAAACCCTTCAGTGAGTAGCAGTTAATGTTTTATGCTTTATTTAAATGTATAAAATAAAATACCCAATGCAGCACATGCCCCATGGCAGAGTTAATGTTTCTGAAGAATGCTTGGGTAAAATTCTGACCTCCTTGAACCCAATGGAAAACTCCTGCTTTTGAAAATGTAGGGTGTCTACTATACACATGCTCTGGGATGGAGGAATAGGCGCTTTAATTAAAGCAGCTCTCGGAACCACTCTAATTAAAGCGCCATCAGCATCACGTGTATTCAGCATCCCACGCTTCAAAATGGCAGGGGGTCTCTTGAACTAAAGCTTGTTCAATTAGCTTTAGTTCAAGTGCCCTGCTGCCATTCTGAAGTGCAGGGATGCTGAATAGATGTGACATGGAAGCTGCTGAAGCATCTTAATTAACATGTTCCAGCAGACTCAATTAATCAAGTTTGCTCCAACACATGCTAATTAGCACGTCCGACACGTGTATAAGTGCCCATAATTTTCAAACTTTAATGATGCATTATTCATCTTTTTTCTAAATTTCAGAATCCTTATGAAATACAGACTGAAGAATAGTAATTTAGAAAAGAATAGAAATTTAGAAAGGACTGAAGAATAGGCTTTTTACTTGAATTTCACTTTATTTCTGTGATACTTTACCAAAAGAGTTTCTACTCCCTTTTAAGTGTCAGAAACTTTTTTACTGTATGTCTCTATAGACAAAATATTGATGCATTATTGTTAGGAAGAGCAGCATTTTTTTTCATTAACATACATTAACATGATCTCCAGTTGGTTTTGTGTACAGTTACCATATGTCTGGGTTTTCCTGGACATGTCCTTTTTCAGGGTCCTCCTATCTTCGTTTGGACATTTTTTTTTAATATCAACAAATGTTCGGGATTTTGCTCTGCTCAGTGTTGAATATTTTCCTGGTACTTCCTGGCTTGCCCTAGCAAGGAGCTGTGGCGGGGGGGGTGGGGACTTGGGGCTGGGGAGAGTGGGGGCAGGGCTTCTTATTGGAGACAAGGGACATCACATCTATCTGAGTGTGCACACGCACATGGCCAGCATGCAGCTATGGCATCTCACACCTATTGCCTCCCATGGCCTCCAGTCCTCACTGCCCTGCATCTGCATTTTCACAGACCTTCATTTTGCATATTGGCTTCTTCTATTCCATCCAGGAGAACACAAAACAGCAGACTCTCCCTATGCCTGAAGAAGGGTATTTGCTAGGGCTGTGTGAAGCTTTGGTAGCCAATTTAATTCAGAGGAGATTCGGCTCAATTCGGGGACCAAATCTCCAAATCCAAATTGAATTGGGAGACCAATTAAAAGCTCTGAATTGATTCAAAGCATCCGAATCAATTCAGAAAAGCTTTGGAAAAGATTCAGCCACTTTGGAGATTCAGCCATAGACTAAACAGGCAGCTGACATAGCTGCCTCCAGCTGACAAGTCTGTTGGGGTTGGGGGAGGAGGAAAAGAAGGGGTGTGGGGGAGGGAGGAGCTGGGGCTGGGGCCGGAGCTGGGGCTGGGACAAACTGCCCAGCTGGGGTGGGGAGGCGCATTACAGGGGGTGGGGAGAACGCAGGCACAGCAGTGCTGGAAGCAGGGGATCTGCCCTGCTGCCACTTGCCCAGCTAGAGTGGCGGGATGCAAGTGTGTCGCGCTCCAGGCGGAAAGGGGCAAGCGGCAGCAGGGCATAGCCCCTGCTCTGAACACTACCGTGCCCGCATTCTTCACCCTTCCATGCCTGCTGGTAAGTGGCGGCAGGGCCTGCCCTTTCCATGCTAGTTGGCAAGCGGCACCAGGGCAGAGTTCCTGCTCCCAGCACTGATGCGGGCATGGCAGCATTGGGACCAGGGGCTTTGCCCTTCTGCTGCCTGGAGCGAGCCATGCTTGCATTGTGCCCCTCCCGCCACACCAGCTGGGCTGTGTGGAGAATGGAGCCGGGCAGGGAAGCCATGGGGGCTTCTCCCGTGGCTCCCCCAGCCAGGGGAGATGCAGGCACAGCTGGAGAAGCTATGAGAGAACCTGCAGCCACCCGGCTGTACTTGCCTCTGCCTGGCCAATCCGAATCCCAAATAATGCCGAATCTCCGATTTCTGATTCGTCCGAATCGAATGGGGATAGTGAATCACCGAATTGAATCACTGTGATCCGAATCGGCTGAATCCAAATCAAATACTTCCCTATTTGCACAGGCCTAGTGTTTGTGCCCCCAGAGCTTGTAAGGAACAATTTTTCCAACTAGTTAGTTGGTCTAATAAAAGATTGTCACATTTACCCAAGGAACCTTGTCTACCTTTTGTATTTATTTGTATTTATCTTCAGCCTGACTGTAATTCTTTTCTTTTCTGTATTTCAGGACAGGCTGTTTTGAGAATTTCAGAACCGGGCAGTTATCACCATGCTCTCCTACAGCTCAAAGCAAGTCACCCAAAAGGTACAAAAGGTCAATAAGGAATTTTGTAAACTGTTTTCTTCTTTTAACATACAGAGTTAATGGAAACTTCAAAGATAAATAGCAGCAATTTGCATTGCTTTAATATTTACTTTAATATTATTAATGTTTTAAAATCTCCTGCGATTTATAATTTTTATTCATTACATTTTTAGTTCTCTTATGCCTATTCTGTATGCACTCCAGTTATAATATATGACCTCCCCTACCACTACCAAATAGGGAAGGAAAATTAGGATCCCCACAGGATTTATTGTTCAAACCCCTTTTATTGGTAGCAACATGCTAATCCTACTTAGTATCATCACATCAGGGAGATCAGTGACATCCATAACAACAGTGTAAATACTTCCCTAAACTACTGGGAAGAATGGATGGGGCAGGGGGTCTTCATTATTCTTGTCGTCTTCTTGATCAGCAGCAACTCCATTTTTTCCCTGCTGGGTCTCCTCTTTTATTGGTTCAACCCCTTTTATGTAAAGCATCAGGGTTTCGCTCTTTCTCCTTTTGGGTCAGTTTAGCTATTTCTGTTCTTTTATATTCTGGGGAACTCGCTCAGATTGGGTATCAGGTGGTGCTAGGATGACATTAGAGAGGGGCAGTTAACCATGTTGGTCCGAGTCAAACAGAAGGTAGAGTAGAGATATACCTTACAGACTAACTGAATCAGAGATGCATATACTTTTGTAAACAAGAGCTCACTTCATCAGATGCTCTGATTCCCTAGTGGGTGAAGTTACACCAGACTAAATCTGTGGAATATCAAACTGTGATAAAGTTAGGACAAGCTATGAGCAGTCGTACATTAAGGACTAATTCTGTTTCTTGCCTGCGCAGCTCTGACTTGCCACTAGAGGACCGGCAAGCAAGTGTGTGGCTAGAAACCAGCACACCTGGGCTCTATCCCTAATCTTGGGGTGGGGTTGGGGGTGATGCATCCTGGGATTCTAGAGTACTGCAGATTGCTCATTTTATCTCCTTGGAGCAGATTGATGTTACCCTAACTGTATCACAGCCCTGAGTTAACCCTCACCTGAAGCAGCATAACTTTGAGACACTCAGAGAACATTTAGCATGAATGAACAAACTTTAATTTGTGGGTGCTCGTGAAACTGCCTTTAGTATGGTCTAAGTGTAATGTGTAACTTCACCCTCAGGCTATGAAATTCATCACTACCTTAGGATAATGTTAGTTAGGTAAGATCTATCCTTCGACGGCAGTGCAATATTTCATTAATTTATTAATTAATTTATACTGACATACTTTAATTTAACATGATATTATACACTTGCATGCAATTTTGATTATCTGTAATGTATATTAATAAATTGTATGTAGGCATTTAGGCCTCAGATTCAAGCTGAACCTTGCTGGCTGGAACCCAGCGCTTGCTGTCAGTTTAGCATGGAAAAAAAATTTCAGATCAGTACAAACATTAGTTATAGGATCATCTTTGCTATAAAACGCCAAATATTCTAATTGAAGCCCTGGGACAACAAAGTAATTAAGCAAGTGCTTAAATGTTTTAAGTACAAATGGGCCTCTGTTGGCCTCACGTACTTAAAGTTAAGCACATGTTTAAGTGCTTGGAACAGGGTCTATATATCCACCACCCCTGTTAATAGTATCACATCCTGTTTAATGGCACAATTTTAGAGCATGATCTATACTCACGATTTATCCTGCAGAGAGCTAGAAGAGAGGCCAAGAATGGATATTCCATTTTAAACCCCTCTAATCTCCTGTATGTACAACACTGATCCTGTTTCACTAGTATCAAAATGTCATGTTAGGTTTTCTCAGCTGTGTTTAGGGTTTTCAAGTTTCATCCAGCTCTTAGCTGAAGTAGCCTAAGTATATCTATTTAAGCCTGGTGTTGGAAGCTCTTCACAGGACTGACATTTCAACACTTATTGACAAAAATCCTGTCTTTAATTCCCATATTTGAAACACACGTTGGTTCTTTTTCTGTATGTCTGCACTCATGCTAATATCTTAGAGGGATAATTCTCTCTCACACAGAACTGAAGCTTTCATGAGATATAAGTGCCAATTCATGTTAAATGTTTAGCAGTGGCTTGGTTAAGTCTGTGCTAATGTTTAATTCAAGTATTAATACTAGTTTATTAAATAAATTAAAGTCTTATCAAGTTCTTTGTTGTCCAATTTTTTAAAAAATGCATATTTTTTCTACATTTTGATTGTGAGGGATTCCTTTATGCCAATGTATTTTCATTAGCAGTGGAACTATTGACATCTTTACTCTGATGCTCTCCTCTTACTTTTGTTAATGCGCAGCCTAATGACAGGTGGGATTTTTTATCTGAAGAATTACATTTTATTTTATTCACTGAAACATGATAGTTTGTCTATATTTTTAACAGAGGTACTTTTAGCAGCTAAGGTTTTAGACGCCTAGTTTAAAGGCCTTTTCTGGACTTCAGATTACTTGGAGTAAATAGCCTGTATGCATGAATATCAAGTAACTGGACATAATATCATTTCTCTCATTAAAAATATTTAAATCTTTTCCTTCTAAATATTTTGAAATTATTATTTCTAAAGCACTTAATCTATTGCATTCCAATATTTAACCAACACTTCTCTATATGCTGACATGAAAAATTGTTCTTTGCCGTTACTTATGCTGGTGGGGGTAGATTTGATTAATATAGGCATGTCCACACAAAAAGGAAGATAAAGGCCTCATACAGACATTCAGATTCTCCTGGGAGAGTCACTTCTCTCCCCAGAGAAACCATGAGTGTACAAATGGTCAGGCTTTTTTCCTCCCAGAGTAAAAATGGCCACTTCAGAAGAAAAATAATGTGGGAACAACCAGGGTTTAAATCACTTACAGGAGAGTTTCTCTTGGGAAAGTGAATGTCAGTACATGCCATGGCTTCTCTCAGAAAAGAACATAGTCCTCCAGCATCCCCTCCTCCAGGGAGACAGTGTGTTGTATGCTGGACTCTGCTACTTCAGCAGGGACCAGAATATTTCCCCTTCACAATCCCAACATTGTGCTGCAGGGAAACATGGGATGACCATAGGCGGTCTGGGTCAGCCAGTCAGTGCTGCCCTATGCGTTGGTGCTATCTGTTACCAGGCCAACTAAGGAAGCCTTCAGAGCTAGCTGAAATGTGTGTACAGGGGCTGCACTGGTTAAGCACTCTACTCCTGCAAGCTCTCTGCTCCTCACGGTCTCAGCATTTGAATGTCTGTACATGCAGCTCTGAGTAATTTTCTTTACCGGGGCTAAGTACAGACAGTCAAAAAGCCTAAGGCTGAATCAATTCAACCTTCACAGGTTAGTCTAAGCTCCGTAAATTGAACCAATAAACAAGTGAGCAGACATTTACTTTTGATTCCAGAAATGCAGCCGCGTGCCTGCCCAGGCCAAAAGCCAGGGGGCAGTAGAGGACACCTCTCTGCTTGGCTGGAGCAGACAGCTTGGGCCAAGCCTAGTTCATCCACTCTGTGCAAAGCATCCTGGGATGCTGGGGGCCTGTGAGTTAACTTGAATCTGGAGGGGATCTGGGACAGAAGTTCAATAAACTGATTTACCTAAATCAGTTAAGTCTGATACTACATCCATCCAGGTTTATCTAAAACCAGTTTTGGCCATTTTGAAAGTGCTTTGTGTACACTGAACTTCTGTTGTGTTACAGATTTGAACCAGTTTCCAGTCACTTATACCAGTTTGTGTTCAATTTCTGTCCCTAGCCTAGGGTAGCAAACCTGGGAGAATTCTCCCAGGTTGTTTGAATGTATGTATGTAGCCACAGTTCCAGCCTCCAAGAGTATGTCAATGACATCCAAGAACTTTACTAGGAAGCACTGTAATGAAGCATACTACTTTTACTTGTTGCATGCTGCAACCTAAATGGAGCTAATGTGACTTTCATTAAGATGGCCATGCTCCAATACAGGAAGGAACCAATACCAATGCGGGAAGGAACTGGTTAGCACAGGCCCAATGCCACATTTTCTTGGTTACACTCCCTCCATTTCAGTGGGTAGCAGGTTCAGACCAGGCATGCTATACACTACCATGGCCTTCCTGAGTGTGGTCCACTAATGATATAGATATTTACAAGCTAAGACAGAGACAACAGCTAGGCAAAGGCATACAGCACATAAAGTACAAAATATGCCTAAAATAAGTATAAGTGCTCAAAGTGACCCCTGTGAAGCTTATTAAAGCTATGCAAAGCAGTTATGCACCATTTTAAAATACTACAAAATATTTACAAAACTGAAAACTGTGGACAGCTGTTATAACCAGAGAGAAACTGGCAACTCTTCTTCCAATGTGAGCTGGAGTTTGTTGAGATGTATCAGTTCTTAGGTTCTGATTTTAGTGTGTGTATATGCATATATGTTAGCTTGTTTAGGGTAAGCTCACACTCCCTGCACATGCACATTTCCAAACAGTTCTACTAACCATAAAAGGTAACAATTAAAAAAAAAAAAAAAGGTAGCTAAGTGGTGATACATTAAGACCATTAGCAATTAAAAAAAACAAAACACGTTAACCTATAAAAAAGACAGTGCTCCTTATCTGTTTATGGATCTTTTCATCATTTCCACTCTTATCACAAAGAACAAATTTAAGCATCCTTTACCGGCCCCCATTCAAGGCCAAATTGAAGGCACACGTGGGGAAAGTGAACAAAGAGGGATCCAGGACAAGAATCTTGGGTGGAGGAAGCAGAGAGCAGAATATATGTGAATATTTAGGGAAGACGATCATCATGAAGGACTTTGCAGATGAGGGAAAATTCTTATACTCAAGGTGGTGGAATACAGGTAGACAGCAGAGTTAGTCAAGGGGCAGGCAGCCAGATTAGAGCAACAAGCATTGATGATGATTTGACTGTTTTGTGTCGACTGGAAATGGATCATGAATGGTGTGGGCACCTGGGAAGCTAAGGAGTGGGGAAGATACAGTAATCTGGATAAAATGGGTTGATGGATGAAGGTTTAGTTGTAGGGAGTAAACAAAAAAGATCAGAACTCATAAATCTTGAGGAGGAAGAAAATAAAAGCAATTGGACACGATCTGGATGTGCATGGCAAAGATGACCACCAATTCCCTAGGCTGAGAACCTTAGTAATGGAATGACTAGTGACATGGGCAGATCAGGGCAAGCAGGGCAGCCACCCCACATTGGGTGCAAGTGCAGTGGTGCGTGAGCTTTCTAAGCTCACCAGCTGGGGTTCCTTTAATTAGGAGCTATTTATCATAGGGTGAGGATAAATTGCATAAACATCCCCCCAAAAAGTTGTTTCTTTTTTAATATAAAGTTAACAGGTGGTTTTCCAGATGTGAACCAGTAAAGGGTATGCACTAAGGGAAAAGAGTGTTTCCAGATTATTTTTTTTAAACTGAGCTGTTATCACTGAACTATTTACCTAAAAATATGCTATTCCATCTGTATTATTGCATTGCTAACAAAGGTAAAATTAACTCACATTAATAATTCTTCCGGTATTATTCCATCGAGGGGGCCATTGTATTTGGATCTTCCTCTTTGACCCAGCCTAACAGACCGTGAAGCAGCTGAGAATCAAGTCTACCAAGGAGGTTGAGAGCCAGGGTTTTCAGGCAACTTGCTTTCCTTCCCTGATCCTTCCTTTGGAACATTTTATTTTTAATATTTTGCAGGAGAAAAATGTTCCACTGAAAACCTTCTAATCAGCGTCAGTGCTTTGGTACAAACCAGACAGGGAGTCTGTGATGAAGGTTATAACTCCCGACCGCCTGTCTTACCACACTTAGTACCCTAATGCCACACTGACCTTCAGTAAACCATTGAAAACATGAGGCTGCACTCTACTACAAACTGCTATCCTGTTTCTTTAAAAAAAAATGTTTTGCCTTTTAGGTCTGTCTGTGGAAAGAAATTGTGTTCTTCCTGCGGGCTTCCTCTCGGAAAAGGAGCTGCCATGATTATTGAAACTCTTGGTCTTTATTTCCACATTCAGTGCTTCAGGGTAGGTCTTTATTATTATTCCCCTGGCTGATGAGAGAGATTCCAGTAACCATTTTCTATTTTTAGATACTTATCCAAACCAGATCATTGACTCTGACGCTGAGGTTTTCCTATCACGTAGGGCTCAGTTCAAGAATTCTGTCTCAGGTGGTAGACACCCAAACAAATTAATATGTGGCAAGTCGGGCTGTTCTGATTCAAAGCCATGATACAGATCCTAAAATTGGTTTAGCTGCAACAATGGTAGATTTACCCCTGCCTGAAGTGGGACTAATTTGTCATGCTTTCAAATGTCTGCTTTTCATCGCACAGTCTGTTTGCTTGCAAAGAGCTGCCATGCTATAATTTGCTTCAGGTTTATGCCTCAAGCTTTGCCTCCCTGTCCAGAGTCTAAATACCAAAAAAATCAATGGGAGTGATTAAGTGTCCACATAATTTTTTAAGTGAAAACTTCTAAGTTCAAGCCTCAAATATTAACCTGCTCTAAAAACCTCATATTAGGCTGCAGGTGTGCTTTTCCTTTTATCTCATAAATGACTCATGAAATGAACATCAAAACATTACAAAGAACTTGAAATAGCAAAAGAAATCCCATGCTCTAAACCTTTTCCTCTGTCTTCTTCATCATTCAATAGTGTGGCATTTGTAAGGGACAGCTGGGAGATGCAGTAAGTGGAACAGATGTCAGGATTAGAAATGGTCTTCTCAACTGCAACGATTGTTATATCAGATCCAGAAGTAAGTATTTTAAGATTATTGTTTGGTTGTTCTTATTCCACAATAAATCCTAGCTTCAGTCTTGCTACAATTTAATTTCTTTTTTGGAAGCAACTTATATCTTTACTAATTTTGTATCTATTCATATACTGCATAACAATATCAAGCTGTGGTACACATCATTTGTCATCAAAACCCCCAATACCAAGCCATTTTGATCCTCATGTCTGAAAAGGAATTAAAAAATGTCACTCTTTAATTGTCAGAAGAATTTGTTTCCAGCAGTAGGATCTCTGAGCAGTCCCAGGCTTGCCATCCTTTTCAGTGCCAACATGCATGTTGTCTGCATGGATTAGGAACAAAGGACTGGAAGAGGCCTTCTGACCATTAAGTCCAGTCTCCTTTATTTACAAATGACCACTGACCCAAGAATTCCCCAAAATTGCCACTTCAAATCCTCACACAACATCCAAAATCCCAACAACAGCCTACAGCTCACCTTATGTAGAAGCAGTGCTCTGCCACTGCAGTGACAAGGAAGTAGTTGTTAACATATAATAATACCCAGGCATGGCTTTCTCTCTTGTCCATTGGGGAATGTAGGTATTCCTTAGTGCTCAGTCTGGACCTAATTCAGATTTTGTTGCCAAGTAAGTATGCATGAGTTTTGTAGCAAAGATGATTTAAGCTGATATTTGTAAATATTTTTCCAGTCATAAGGGCCAGGGAAACACTGGCACAAGCTACTGAGGGATATTGTGGGATCTCCTTCATTGGAGTTTAGGTGCAGGTGATAGAACATATCTTGCTGACTCCTGGCCTACATTATCTTCAACGTTTAAGTAGTGAGGGGGCCCCTTTAACAGAGCTTAGTGCAGCTCACTTCCAGTCTAGTGCACACTGCCACTGCTGCAGCCACAGCTACCAGCCCTCCAACAGTGCCATGACTGCCTCTGAAACACTGCAAAAGCCCCCCCTAGCTCCATGGGCTGGATCCAGTCCACAGGCCATAGGTTGCTGGCCCCTGATACAGGCATAGTTGATCTTGCCAAAGGGTTGGACTAGATGTTCTCATGGGGTCCCTTCCAGACTCGCGTTTCCAAAACTTCTTTCAAATTCAGCTTCTACTGCTATAGAATTTTAACCCTTTTCTTTACTTTCCCATTTCCCAGCATATGACAAGAGATATACTAGCACATACACCTCAATACTTCTCTCTGACAGCATGGGACACAGAGAACCGTATAGAATACCTGTCTGCCTAGTCATGGGGGTCAGGGTCAGACTATGGAAGTCCCTTTCAGCCCTGCTTCCCTACTTCCCTGTGATCTGCAACACTAAATACTACCAGGAATATTCTGAACATGCTTGTAATTGATCAGACTAAATACAGGATTCTCTTCCTTTATTAACTATTTTCCTCTCTCTTCCTCAAAAATCTCTGGCTTTAGTAATAGGAAATAAAAGCTCTGGCCCACTACTTGCAAAATATATACTCTAATTACTGAGCTTAGAAAAACTTCCATACTATTGGAGACAGAGGGCACTATTGGACTACCTCTCATTCATCTGCACAAATGCTTTTACTTCTGTTGAGAAACTTCTTAGCAGCCGTGTTCTTTTGTATCAAACCAAGCAAAATTAACAGATTTAGAAATAACTCTACATATCTGTCAGCTTGAACCTGCAAACCCTTACTTGTTTGAGTGAAGATATGGCCCTAAATTTATATATCTCTTAATACATAAAGATCAGAAGAGAAAAATACAAGTGAGATTCCCCAGCATGCCTTTTCCTCATTTTTGTTTAAATTATGTTTTGAAGAATGAGGATTTGAGCTCCCACATTTAAAGAAGAGGGCATACTTGAATATTTGTTGTCATTATGTGATGCAGCAGTTCTTTTTTACTGTAGTGATAGTGCCAGAAAATAGAGGACAGACCTGCATATCATAGTGATATAATTTGTTCCCCTGGGATTTACACTTCTATCTTTTCACTCTGCAGCCATATTTTCCTGCATTTGTAGACCACCTAACAAAGTAGGATCCAGGTCCCTGATGGGGGGCCCGTAGCTGCTCTGATATTACACCTTAAAATGATGGAGTTTTGTGGATCACCTACAAACATTTGTGTTTAGGGGGAGTTGCTATTTTGTCTGTTCTTTTCATTTAATCTTTGAAATACTACTTTGGTTCTGCATAAGTTCTAGAAATAGAAAAATATTTAAAATAAATAGTTAAGGGGGGGGGTTGATTTTTATTTATTTATTTATTTATTTTCCCCCTGAACTGGTGATGTATTTCACGTGGCTGTGTGTTTAGCTTTTTGTGAGGTGGGTTGTGTTTAACTGAAATTGCAAGGGCAGTTTCTGAGGGGGTGCAATATTAGTGCTCTTAGCAGTTACTTCTGGAGGCACAGAGCATGTCTACATGTGCAAATGCTCCTGGGTCAGTTTACTCTAGAGTAAACTGATGACCTGGGCAAACATCTACAAGTACAGGGATGTGGGAGCAGATTTGCTGTTCATGGCAGCAATCTACTCCTGCCCCCACTGGCCCTGCACCAGTCCCTGCACCAGCCAGGGGGAGCTGTAGGCTCCTTCTGGGTGCTAGTTTAGGAGTTGGCAGGGAGCAGGGGGCCAGGAGGCAGCTGTCTTCTGGCAGGGACTGGGACATTGCTTCCTGCCTCCGGGACCTGCCTACTGCCAGTGCGGGCTCTGCCACTGGAACTGGGACAGGGCAATGTCTCCTTGCCCCAGCAGGAGGGAGTTCCAGGCTCTGCTCCGCTATGGCAATCACAGGAAATCCTTATCTGTCAGCTGAAGCTCTGCAGTCATGGGGCTAGGGTTGGGAGATCCTTAGCTCCCAGCCGTATTGCAGGTAAGGCTTGTGGCTACTGTTGAAGAACATCTGTGTGAGAGGTGTTTATTCAAAATTTTAAATTATTTTCTTTCATGTCAAATATATGAATGTAATGAAACAAATACCTAGATGAGAAATACTTCAAAAAACAAATAAGTTAACCTGTGAAGGCAGCTAAGTATCCAGGGTATTTTTAAAATAAAAACAACAGAGTTTACAGATACAGGAATGAAACAATGTATAAATTACCAGAAACACAAACTATTCTGCTCCATAACATTACTGGTTTAGATGTAACACTGACAAACAAGTCAAAGGTAAAGCAGGTAACTCTCCTTGAACTGTTATATTTCCTGCCTGGGGGAGGACTGTTTCTGAACAGTGTGTAGTATTCTGTATGATCTAATACACATTGGGTTCAGCTATTTATGCCCTTAATAGCTTTTGCTATTACATCCTCAGTCTTGATCTTATTATTAATTATTATTATCTTATATATTATTATTCTACCACAGCATTGCCTTTACTATGATTTTGTGTGCAAATTAAATGAATGTGAATGCCAAATAGTTCAGTAATGTAATCTTTCAGGCACAAGGGATATATTTTTTCTACGTCTGTATTGTAACTTTTATTTCAGTCAGTGCCAAACTTACATCCTCAAAACAGATATAGTGCCAGGGGCCTTACACATGTAAAATTCCTTGCTATGGTGACTTGGAATATAGAAGGAATATGAAGACAGTCCTATCTATTGTGTTTCAGAAGTAACAAGTGCTCAAGTATGTCACCCTTCTAACTAGTAACGTTTTTATTTCTAACTTAGCTGCTGGGCAGCCAACAACATTGTGACATGAATTTAAGTCCTAAAAACTTCCTTCGAGAAGAAACTTTCCCAACGTGTCCCTGGGGCTGCCTCCAGACAATCACTTGTAAGAACTCATATCCATGGACTTCACGGTTCTCATCTTATTTCAAAAAGCTCATAGAAAAGGCTGTATGCATAACTTTAAAGCACGATTATTTCCCCCTTTATTACTGAATTTACATAATATGTATGAAGGAGATACTTGGTCATTCAGAGCCTAAATACTATTTTTTAAAAGTTTTCATGTTTTCAGATATGTTAATGATTTAAAATCTGTTATTTTGCTCTTTTGGAAGTAAAAAGAAAGTGAAGATGCAATAAATCTATTTTGTTTTAATATTTCTAAGAATTAAACATGTAAGTTTACAGAACCTTTACAGATGTTCTAGCATATGCCAACTTGAGGTGATAAATCATTTTAAGATAGCATCTAATTAGTACATTTGAAAAACAACATCACAGCAAGTGACTTTGTTACTATTTTTTTTTTTTTTTTACAAAGACACTAGTTTGATAATGCATACTGTAATTCCGAAACATTTTCTGTTATATTACTTTCAATGGAAGAGTAGGAGTTATATAAATAAATTATTGCACCTTTAGTTGAAGGGTTTTTTGTTTGTGTATTTCAAGTAATGTTCATTGCAAAAGCTTAGTATTTTATCACATAAAGGTTGGAGACTATCATTAAGCTTGGAGACTGTATAGCATTAACAATTGGAAGTTCCCAGTGGTGTAAGAAACTGTACAGAACTTGTACTGAATAATACGTTACTACCCAATTCCAGAGGTGGGACCTGTGGGCACAAATGGATGAAACTGACTCGCTGTATCAACAAGAACTGGGTTGGTGGTTGATGTCCTGGCTTCCCTGTTCTATTGGCTTGTAATTTTCTCATTGCCAGTAGAGTTGTCATAACTTAATTTGTAAATTTTATGAGTCTTATACTCTAAAGAGATTTCACGTGACAAAAATACATATACACACTCAGGCACCTTGGTTTGGGTCCCATCAAGAATCATCTTTAGAACTTGAACAGTGGCAACTTAGTGCAGCTTAGTGAAGACCCTGAATTTGCCTTCCATGCCCACCCAGCTCTTATTCAAGTCAGC